ATTGATCTTACGTTGAAATTCGTGTGGATATTTTCTTTTTTTTTTCCTCTTTGTGCTTTATTCACTCACTTAGATGTGCAATAAATAGAGCACATCTTGATGTGCCCAGACAGAAAAAAAAAATACCCATCCCGTTCGACCCTATCTTCCTCCATCCATCTCCCTCGCTCTGCTCTCTTGTCTCGCCGGCAGCGGTGGCGGCTCCGACGGGCGGCGCCATCCAGGGAGCCACCCGAGTCGTGGGCAAATCCGGTTCCCGCAAGGAGACGGCGCCAGTCCGGTCGTCGGCTACCTCGCCGCCACACCACTTCCCCGGCGCCCCGGCAAGCTCCCCACGCCAACCCCTCGCCACAGCCGCCCATCTACCCCGGCGCCGCTCCTCCACCAACCCCCTCGACACCGCCGCACTTGTACCCCCCCCTGTCATGGAAACCCCCTCTGCTAACCACCCCTTGTGGAATACTTTTTTTCTTGTTGCGGGGGACCCCTTGTTGAATGCATGGTATAAGTTTCTGCTTTCAAATGAATCTTCAGCAGCTGTAATTTATTTAGCTCGAATTTGCATTGCTTGGCAATTCCCACTTTGCGTTCTGCATTCGGGAGTTCCTGATTCAGCGTATGTAGATGTCATGTGCAAAAGTAGCCTGTGAAACTGACTTTTGAACAGTTTTTGGTGACCTCAACATAGCAGCTTAATGCCTACAAAATGTACTAGATTTGATTCTGTTAATCTACTACAAAATGGACCAGGAAGGCTCATCTATTGGCTTTCCATCAATATTACTCCTATGTATTTCTTACAATTGTGAGCACAAATACATGTAAAAGTATACTGCTAGTATTGATTTATCTGTTGGAACGCATGCAGCATTTCATGCAGTTTATGATCAAAGGGGGATTCATGTGTACCCATACCCCCAAAATTACTGGAGTTAGTGAGGGAGGATCAGCGGTCTTTAAGGTGAACTACTTCAAAGAACAAGCGTCCCTGGCACAGTCACCCCAACTCTATAAACAAATGCTTATCAACGGAGGAATAAACCGAGTGTTTGAGGTCGGTCCTGTTTATCGCGCAGAAGATTCAAATACTCACAGGCATCTTTGCGAATACATAGGTCTTCATGCAGAGATGCAAATCAAGGAGCATTATTTTGAGGTAATTATTCCAGAAAGAAATGTTGTTATTACACCCTTTAAAAATTGCTGCTGGCAGTACTGACACTAGTGTACTACTACTAAATTACAGGTTATAGATTTCGTTGATGCGCTGTTTGTTGACTTATTTGATCACCTGGCCAAAAACTGTTCAGAGATGCTGGACATAATACAAGAACAATACCCCTGTGAAAGACTGAAGGTAAACTTAAATTTTATTTTTATTCTTTTTGTACTAGTAGTATGTTCATATGTCAAATTAGTGTGCTGAATTGTGTCTTATCATCGCAGTACCTTCAGCAAAATGTGAGGCTCAAATACTCCGATGGAATCAAAATGTTACAAGTGCGTTATTGTTCCAACCATTAAATTTTATGGTTTGTCATGTCGGATATTGTATTTACAGTTTGTGGGTCTGACATGTGCAGGAATCGGGTTTTCCAATCCAAGAGCCACAAGACTTAAACAATAAGGCGGAGCTAATGCTAGGGAAACTCGTCCTTGAGAAGTTGTTTTGTCCCAAACTTATTCTTTTCTGTGCTGACCTTGGATTAGGATTATCATTTTTTTGTTTGTTTTGCAATGTGATGTACTGTGTACCCGCAATATGCAGTTCGTCTGATCAACTTTTGCAACATAGGTACAAAACAGATTTCTTCATATTGTACGAGTTTCCATTGGCAGTCAGACCATTTTACACAATGCCGTCCGGGCAAGAGCGTAATCCTGGTAGTTACAGTAATTCCTTCGATGCTTACATTAGAGGTATGCCCTTTTGGATTCTTATATGGAAAAGGGATATGCAGGTGTTTCTTATTTGATAATTGTACTGAGTTGCTTTGTCATCGTTTTTGTTTCTTGAAGGCCAAGAAGTCCTTTCAGGTTCTCAGAGGATCCACAATAAGTCGTTGCTGATTAAAAGGATAGATGAGCGGGGATATATCAAAGCAATCTTTCAGCAGTTCACGGATACTTTCGGGTATGTGCCTTCTACTACTAGTAGTTCAACTCCTCGTTATGGATAATTATAAATTATATATTCTCTGCATTCTCTTGTAGGTGCGGAGCACCACCGAGAGGAGGTTTCGGAGCTGGACTCGAGCGGCTTGTGATGCTTTACTTAGGAGTGCCGGATATTAGAATTGCTTCACTTTTTCCGCATGACCCTGGCCGCCTGGTTCCCTGATTAATTGTATTATAATTCCTTTAGTCTTTTTCAGTGCCGGATATTACAATTGATTCAGCGCCTGGCTCTCTCTGTAGTTACCTTAGTCTTTTTCAGTGCCGTTGCTTCACTTTTTCGGTGCGACCCTAAGTGCCTGTCTCCCTGAGGCCTTGTTTGGTTGTAGGGGAACCAACCCCCTAGTGGAATTAATCCCTTGTCACCCAATCCCTGTGGGGGTTGATCCCCATCAAATCCTGCTATGTATCCTTTATTTGGTTAATTATAATCCCCGTCACCCCTGTCATTCAACGGTTGCATTTAAAGTAGGATTATTTGAACTGATCATAGAATACATTTTGAAACTGATCATCCAAGTATTATCATACCATGTGATGATTCAAATTCCATAAATATAGCAGAAGTTTTAAGACCTTTCACAAGTATATCAGTAGTTTTAAGCATTCGGGACATTTGATGAGATATTTCACAAGAACTAACTAGTGGCAGAATTCAAATAATCACTGTGCACAATTTGACCACAATAAAACAAACAACTAGTCACCATAAAAAACTGTCGGAAGTTCAATTCCAACAACATAGAACTAGCTTCCCACATACGAGAAAATCAGTTACTCCTTTCCTTGGTGAGTAAATGGCGTTGAGCAGTTAGTGATAACTCAAGCATGCACAAAAAGATACAGAGCATGTAGACCAACAAGTTGCGATTGCAATGCTGGGTAAAGAGCAGGAGATAGAAAGAAAAATCTCTACAGGCTGCATCTTTACATTTTCCATGCAAACTTGCTACAAATTATACAATGTCAATGTCAATTATATTTTTTTGCGAAAAGTCAATGTCAATTATATCTTCACAAACAGGAGATAAATAATGGCCTGTACTATGTCAATGTTATACAAAAGATTACAAGCAAAGCAAAGAAATTAAATAGATAGATGCATGCAGTCTCTTCACAAGAGTACAGTACAACCAAACTGTACCAGTACACACACTAAGAACAAACATATTTATTTATTACTACCAACTAGCCGAACTTGCCCAAGATTCAGAAAAGAGGCTTTGTGCTGCTGCTTATGATCTTAACATGTGAATCAGACCTTGACAAAATATCCTTGCGAGGTAGGGTAGGATTTGTGCCAGGGCAAGAAAAAAGGAGAGGGACGGTAGAACTAATTTTCCTTAAGTGGAGAGTGATTTCCGTGCAAGATAAGGCCAACTTATCTAACATAACAGGCCATCACAAGTAAGCAGCGACCGCAAAGAAAAGTGACAACAAAAATATCACAGCACATACTAGTGGTGAAATAACTTATCTAGCAGACGAAGTAGATAAGTTATACCCCCTCTGTCCCATAATATAAGAACGTTTTTAACACTACACTAGTGTCAAAAATGCTCTTATATTATGGGACGGTGGGAGTATTACACAACTTCACAACAAATCAAGAATCAAGTGTCCATGGAAACAGAGGTGACAAGTAGACCTAGCAAGACTGACTCGGTAAAAAGATGCTCGTACAAAATTAAATGTTTATACAAGGAGGTAATGACCAAACATACAGTGAGTGACTATGTAGTAGTAGAAGAATATTATGCATGAAACAACATAGATGTATGCCTGAGTCAAGCTAGTCTAGCCAGCTGCCTTCTTAACCACATGATGTGACTTGATTGATCAACGCTGAGGAAAATCTCTCTTTTTTGTTCATTCATGGAAACATCGAAAGCTATACCTTTTCTTCAGTAGTTAGCTCTTCCATTTCATTCGCCACAGCAATGCATTTCTTGATTGAAAACTCATCTACATAAGCCCTGGTTCTCTCTATTGCTGCAGCTTCCTCCTCAGCTTGCTTGGTCTTCATGGCAATATAGCTCTTCATCATCCCTACAACATCAGCTTGCTTGCGCTTCTTGGGCTCCTTTTCCACTCTCTTCCCCAACGTACCTTGAAGCTCCATAGGATCTTTTCCAACCTCCTTTTCTAGTTGCTGGGTGGAGATGCTTATCTCGTCATCATCATCAACCACTCTCTCTCCAATATCCAGAAAGGTGCTCTCTCTCGGAAGGCTCATTGACATGATCAACTTGAGTAAGATGCTTAAGGTAATAACGATCTGCTGAGTGTTAGTATGACGAGAGTATTGAGGATTTATTTATGGAATTGTCTCATTAATATTCGGAATAGGTTCGAGAGGAACTGGAAGCGTTTCAGCATCACCGGAAGGGTTTCCGAGTTTATCGGGCAATACTGGGTTTTACCAATAAATAATATATAGATGGAAAATGTTTCTGAAGGAGTTAGATTAATAATAAAAGGCTCTACTAATTTTTAGGAGGCTTTATATTTAATTTAATATCAACGGGTCTTAAAAGACCA